ATACCATCTCACACCAGTGAGAATGGCACATATTAAAAAAACTAGCAACAACAAATGTTGGCGAGGGTGTGGAGAAAAAGGAACTCTCCTGCACTGCTGGGGGGAGTGCAAACTGGTCCAACCACTGTGGAGAGCTGTGTGGGGATTTCTGGACCTACTAAACATAGAGCTTCCATAGGATCCAGCAATTCCACTCCTAGGTGTTTACCCAAAGGGCACAGAAACATCCATTCCAAAGAGCACCTGCTATGTTTATAGCAGCACTGTTGACAATAGCTAAGCTTTGGAAACAGCCCAGATGCCCAAAAATAGATGACTGGATCAAGAAGATGTGGTCCATATACACCATGGAGTATTACTCAGCATTCAAAAAAGATAAACACATGCAATTTGCAGCCACATGGATGGCGCTGGAAGGGATCGTGCTCAGCGAAATAAGCCAGAAAGAAAAAGAAAAATATCGGATGGTCTCACTCATAGCAGGAATCTAGAAAACCTAAATAAGGGACCAGGAAAAAGACTAATTATAATAAAGTAAAAATCAAATCAACATGCAACTATAAACCAGAGACACACTCTGGGGAGGGAGGGGAGGGAGGGATTAGTGTCAAAACAAGGGTTGTGGGAATTGTATGGGGAATATAACCAAGATGAAAATGCACACATTGTGCAAAAATGATGTAAAAATATATAAAATTTTTTTCACCATTCCTTAATCAGGATTAGGATATACAGGTCATCGTACCATTTCATGCATGCCTTTGAAAACATGTTTTCATATGTTTGTGCTAATTATGAGTATTTCTTATTTCCTAGGGAGGAGACACGTTACTGTGAACTAAGTATTTTGCTTGTAAGTTTCAGAACTACAAGTTTCAGAGTCAAACTGCTGAGGTGTTCTCTTAGGTTGACATCTAGATGGGTGGGATCAATAAGACAATTTCATTCAAGATTTTGGTACCCAGGATGGGAAAATTTGTACAAGCAACCCCTTCACAATTAATGCTATTTTCAAGCTTCCACAGAGGCAGGAATGACTTACTCAAAGAAATGAAAGATATTAGAGATATAATTTTAGATATAGAGATATAATTTTAGATATAGATATAGTTTTATTAGGCATACAGTTGATATAGAATATTGCCAAGCTGAAGTTGTACAACATGATTTGATACACATATTTGGGAAATGATGCCAGGATTATGTGAGTTTAATACCTTCAACTCCTAGAGTCTTGGCCACTTTCAGGAATATAATACAGTGTTGTTACCTACAGTCACCAAACTGTATAGCAGATCCCAGAACTTACTCAACTTTAACTGAAAGCTTTGGCCTTTTGACAAATATCTCCCCATTTCCCCACCCACAGCATCCCTGGCAGCATTCTAATCTGTTTCTAGGAATTCAGGTTTTTTTTTTAGATTTTACATATAGATGAGAACATACAGTATTTGTCTTTCTCTGCCAGACATAGCACTTCTGCTGAATGCTTCTTGATTGTACATCTTAAAACCCCTCTGGTAATGCCATTCTTCACATTCAAGCTACACGCTCATGCTCTACTTTCGATTTCATCAAATCCAAGCTGTGTTTGACTTTGAGAGTTTAATATAACCTTATCCTGCCCACCCAGCTTCATTTCCTTCTATTCCTGAATCCACCACATCCTCTGTGTGCTTAAAAGCATCTTAGATTTATGTAGCATCTTAGAGTTTCGAGGACGCTTCAAAAATCCCCTTCTCCCAATAAATTAAGTGGCTATGATTGTGTCCATTTTATAGAGACCCAAAGAAGCCAGGCAATCTCGCCAAGGTCACATGCAATAGCAAATGTCAGAGCTTATTCCTCTATACAGCGACGTGGCTTCCGATATTTGTGTTTCTAGATTGTTTTCTGTTGATTCTCATCTTTGAGATGGTAGCATTGAAATCTAACACCTGCACACATAACACGGCATTAATTTAAACCCAATATATATTAGAAATGCAGAGCTGACATTATTTAAGAAAGTGGAAATGTGTAGTTTTCAATTAGTTTACTCACTCACATACTCACTCGTTTGACAGGAATTTGTTAAAACCAACCAAACATGTTCACGTCCGTCAGGAGACCCAAAGTCACCACAGGGGAAAATTCATCCAGCAAAAGCTAGCGAGGAAAAGGCTGGAATAGCAGCGCGTGCAAAGTGTTGCAGGAGCACTGTGGGAAGAGCCACCGCCCTGTGTTCTAATCGCTCAAAGCTAAGGCTGGGGTAAAAATAAGATGGAATGGGTTGTGCGGCCATGTTGCCCATTTGCATTGCAGCTCTCCAGATTGGTGGCTGAAGTTAATTTATTCTGCACAAGCTGAGTTCTCCAGGCAGACAGGTTGATGTATTACATTTCATTATTTTGCTAACATCACATGTTCGCCCTCAATGTGGAGCAGGGATTGAGTTCACGGCTCGGCAGAGCTGTTATCTGAGGCTTGTTAAGTTCTTGGATGTAACCCATGAACACTTCTGCTCATGTGAGAGGTTATGAAAATATCTGTAAGTGAATTAAGTCAGTGGGGCTTTCTGGGTGAAGACTTTGGAAGCAGACATTCACGGAAAGGATCTTCAGCGAAAAACACCTTAAGAGCTGGCTGTTTTTTTTAAATTTGACAGCAGAAGCACTGCGTATAATAAAAGAATGCAATTATTGAATATTTTTTGTCATTTTGTGTTAATTTAACTGGGGTAATGGAATTCAAATTAAGCTCTGCACTGAATTTTTTTCTGGCAGGTATGCAATATCTGTTTTATATAAATTTACAATAAACTCAGCAAGAGACTCTCCTAAACTCTTACTGATTTTACTGCTACATAAACAATCTTAGGCAAATTGCTCTTTTAACTCTCAGAGGTTTATTCAAGCGTCTGGACTGGTGCAAATATCCTTTATTACAACCTAACCCCTAAACAATCCAATGCAACCATAAGAAATATCAGGAATAGACAACTCCTGTGTCTGATAGTGAACTGGTTAGCAGCCACTCTCCCGTGAGGATTCCTGCAGACCCACATCATGCTTGAAGCTATTCTGTCAAGTGCTAGTAACTTGCTCTTTTTATGTGCTGTAACAGGCAGACCCGGGCTGGAACTAGCTCTATTAGTGTGGAAGTGGGTCTCAACACCAGCTCATTGCTCAGGATGACCTTGGCATGCCCTCACTCAGCCAGCTCCTGGCGCTGATGAGACTAGAAATGACACCAGACAGGAAAGAGATTAAGGCAACATCTGAAAGAAACTTTAAAAGTACATCCCCAAATGTTAATTACTCCTGGAGAAATAACTCGGGGAGGTGTTTCCTCCCCACCCCCTGGTCTTCTGGAGGCGGTAGAGCAGGATCGTTAGGAGAAAAAGCTTAGACTTTGGTTTCACATGGCTGGCTTGTTAAAAGAAAGGGGCTTAGCCTGTGTTCCTGCACAGTGTTTAATGAGCTGGTATGTCGACAATCAGGGGAGAGAAAGGTACAAAATGTACCTGTAAAGTTATATTAGCGAGTTATTAGCCATGTGAAATGACTGTAAGGAGCACATTGAGGTAAAATTAATGGGATGACACAGTTAGTGTAAGGCTTTTATATGAAAAGCAATTCTGAAACATAATTGCTAATAAAAGATCTATTATTACTGTAAGATACACTAACAGGTTCATTCTAGGGAGCAGTAAGTAGGTGATAATGAGGAAATTGGAGGTTCAAATGGCATTAGGTACCCTGGCAATGTTCCCCACCCCCCTCACGTGAGTCTGGTGACAAATTTCTAGATTAAATATATATTTTAAAGGAAATTTAAATCAACTTTTTTTTTTTTTTTTCTATTTCAAATGTACTGCACACAGTAATTTCAGAGTCTCTAGTCTGGTAGGTGGCAAAGATATGGGGGCAGCTGGGGAGTGTAGAAAGGGTGTGTTTGTCAGTGCATATTGTCTCATACGGGGGTGCAACTGTAACAGGGGTTCCCCAGGAAGAGGGGAGGTTCCAGGGTCCTTCCCCACCCAAGGGAGGGTGGAGCAGAGCAGGGAGGAGAAGCTGGAGAGGCGCCTGGAGAAGGGAGGAGGCAGGGTGGAGAGCAGGAGACCTGGAGGAGCACGTGGGTGCCCGCGGGAAGGTGCGTGAGACTGGGGGCAGCTCTCGGGCCCTGCTCCGGCCAGCCTGGTCTGGCTGGACTTTCCCCCGCCAGGGGCCGGTAACTGCAGGTGCTTGATTTGGAAACTATATTCTTTGTCTTTTCTGCATGACACACTCACTGTATTAAAGTTCCTTTCCATTAAAGGTCTGTGTGTTTTGTCTTGATGCGGCAGATGGCAGACCCTGTTTAGAGCAGGCAGGTTTGGGGGTTCTGGGGTGCCCCTCCCTGCCCTGTAACACCATCATATGGTGTGTCCTTCTATTGTGTGCGCACACACACGGGGTCTTTGCAGCAGACTGATATTTTTTAAAATCCTTTCTATTTGGTTTAAAACACCGCAGGGAGCTCCTCAGCTTGCCTCATGGACGGGCAGGCCGGCTGTAGTGCCCGGATTCTGGAAACATGATTTTAACCTCAGAACTTCTCAATAGGTTTTCCCCTTTTTATGTCTCTCATCCAGTCCTACCCCATGTAGTAAACCTCTGGCTAAAAAAGGAAACTGAACCAAAAAAGCAAAGTAAAGAAAGACCTAAAGCAAAACACAGGACAAAAGGAATAGGCTAGCTCCAGGGACCCTTGAAGGTTGAATGCAAATATTAAAGACGTGCTAATTTGCAACAAAAGAGGCCTGCTTAAGCATTTCCTCCCCTGATTTCATTTCCTCTGTGTGGCCTCTGCCCCTGGAACATACCAAGTATTTCCAAAGATAAGAAAATTAAATTTCTCAGCACTGTTTCTTATACCTCCAGTTGGGTTTACCCTCCTCACATCTCCTACCTAACACAGCACAGTGTGATGGCGTTATGCTGTAACATAAATACTATTTGTGTGACTTCATGTAAGTAATCTCCTCTAACAGACACAACTGCAGGGTATGTCCATCGTCTTCATGTTTCAGCTGATGAAACAGCCCGAGGAAGCTTAGGTAACTTACTCCAGGACATCTATCGGGTACGCCACAGAGTCAACGCTTACACTCAGTTTTATCTAACATCTCAATTCAGTATGTTAGCCTGTGACTTTGGAAAAGTTACTGTACTTCTCACTGCCTCGTTTTGGCATGTGAGACTGAAAATAAGCGTTTCTGTCTGGTGCTGGTCTCCCCAAGCAGGTCAGACAGGCCTTTCCCCAAGTGCTCAGAGCAGGCTTGTAACCTTGACATGGAGAAGGTCATGCAAGGCCCATTAAGAGCCTCAGGAACTTGGTGAACACACTCAGAGAACATAGATTATTTTAGGATAAGAGCAGCGAAGACCTAGAGGCTAACAGAAGCTTTGTCCTTGTCTCAGAGGTTTACCCTTTGCCTAACTGGAGAAGCCATCACTTCCCCCTTCATGTTGATCTAGAAGAACGCAGTTTGGGGCTATCACCAACGTGCATGTTTGTCAGTGAACTTTTTCTCTCTGAAAATCTCACCTTTGCTTTCAGAGACTAAAGATGAAGCCACTCCCACCTGCCTGCAGGTAAAATCCCACCCCCTCTCTCCTTGATGCCCCAGACGCCTGGACAGAATAACCACCTCAGATCTACTGTATTATTCTTCAGAATTTACAATCATGTAGATTCACCATGTTAAAATTTTGACTTTCTCCTACTAATCTGTTTGATGGTAAGTTGATTGTTCAGTCTCTGAAGAACCAGATGGAAGAGGAGAGTTTTCCCCTCTGCCCCTACAGCAATATAAATTGCTTAGCTGTACTGAACATCTAACAGAGTCATCGCCATAGAAACAGGAGGCGCCAGGTTCCCAGCCCCACCCAGTGAATTGTGAAGCCATCTGAGGATTTCCCCAGTCAGGTCTGATGGCCGCCTGGAGCTCTGCCTGCCTCCCCTCCAGTTCTGCTCAGATATTTAACTTAACAATCACTTCCTTAGGAATTCCGCCAACACACCACTCCTTAAACTTAAAACTTTGAGAGGAAGAAATGCTATGCCTTTTTAGATGTGGTTTTATCACAATTAAATTGCTAATCCAGCCAATTCCTACTTTTTCTAGGTGGTGGTGGTTATCCACTACTATTTTCACCAGTATTTATTATGCAAGGCCTTCTGAAGGTCTTCAACATGAAGAGGACCAAGAATGAAATATGATTAACAGAAGCATAAACCCGATTTCATGGGTGGACCCCGATAAGGAAGAGGGGCCAGCTGGGAAGGTGGGGGGATCAGTCTGAGCAAAGAATGATTTAAAGAATCACCACCTGCTGAGGAGGGTGGAATTACTTAATATTCTCTGAGGCAGCCAGCATTTCGAAACTTTTCGTTTGGGAGAAAATGTGAAATACCCCATTAAGTTCAGGTACGTTTAAATGAATTAAACTCAGGTTGCTGATGAAGGGGGTGACTGGGGTAAACATCAATGGAAAAGGCTTAAACAACAGTGTCGCCCGATGGGTGAAGCCGAGGAGTTGCCTGAGCTTGCAGTTCTTCAGAATTCGGTAGAATTCGGTGTCCCTAAGTAGCACAATGATTCACCTGCTAGTTGGGGCGACGGCTGGAGGGTACCTCGATCCCTTCTGAGATATGTTGAGTTAATCCTACCAAGACGATGTCGGAAAGCGAGCAGGTTTGGTTTTAGTCTTACGGTTCCCCTGGACTCTCAATACTTTCTTCACGAATCACACCCAATGGCAAGTTGTCAGATGGACGGTGAAGCTCCATCTGTGTCCAGTGTCATTAGAACAAACCCACACGTAATGAAGATACTACTATTCCCAGGGGGCGGGGCGCCTGGAGAGCAAGAATAGGAGAAGCAACGACACTGGGAATCAGGGCCAGGGGGCTGAAAGGCAGACAGCGACCCTGCTGCGATGCCTTTCGAGACCCACTCTCGTATTATTTATTTTATGGCTATAAAAACCTCCGTTGGAAGCTAATGTGATCGAGGTCTGTGAATAACAAATCGTTTTGCTACTAAGCGTCAGCCACCCCAGCCATCTATTACATCAGAAGGGATCCCCTATCTCCCCACTTTCATTTGAGCTTGAAAAATAGGGAACGAGAAAGACTAAAAGGCGTTGAGAAATAACAGCTCTGAGCTGGAGAATTTTAAATAGGCTTCCGATCTATCACAGCTGACTTTCCCCATCCCTAGCAGACAGGCAGCTCTGTGCACAGTGAGGAAACCTGGCTCCCGCCTTCCCAGAGCAGAGCTGGCCCCAGGAAGGGCGTTCCCGCCCCTGAGGGATAGTCACAACTTGTGAGCAGGAAATTGCTCTGGGAGGACACGCAGCGCAGAGGCGGAGACCAGCTCGCGGGCCTTTGTCCACCACCCCGCGGGGATCATCATCTTCTGGGGCCGCCGACACGGCCACGAACACGGGATGCTCAGGTGGCGGCACCTTTTCTTTCAGACCTGCCAGCACCGCGCCGGGTCAGAGGCCTGCGGGGCTGACTTGTCTGAGGGCTTCGAGCAACCGACACATCAACACACTCTTAAGCATTTCTCTAAGGGCGGGGAACACAGTGATGACAAGACTCTGCGGGGTAAAGTGCCAACCATGTGAGGGCACTTGCCCGTCTGGGACAACCGATGCTTCCGTTACCAAGCCAGGTAACTGCACTTTAAAAAACACGAAGTTCTATCCCACCACTGTTGCAGAAGAGTCTTATTTGCACTTCGGCCTCACCTTGCATTTATTCTCTCGCTTTCTAGCATTGACTTGCCACTTCTTCACTGATTAACAGCCTCTCTCCTGTATTTTCTTCAAATCTCGATTTCATTTTCTCTGTTTGTCACCAACTCAGAGAGCAGAGCTGGGTGGGTGGCACGACCACCTGCCGAGACCGCAGCTTCCGTTCCTACTTCAAGGGCCCCCCGTTGGCAAGTTGTCAGGTTTTTTCCAAAGTGTATTCTCAGTAGAGACACTGCATCACCTCACTGCTTCCGAGAGTCACAAGATCTCTGCCCTAAGGCGCTGCTCATCGCCTGTTACATAAGGAATGGTTAAGGAAGAAGTCGTGAAGAGGCTGAATGTGGCTTTTCATCCGCTGTTTGTATGTTTTAGAATTTTTCTCTTGAACGGTTAATAAATCACGTCTTTCAACTTCCTCCCCAAAATACATTTGCAAAGAAAAACAAGCATGGCTTCTGCTTTTTGAGCTACTACCTTCCAGACATTCAAAAGAGAAAAAAAACCCACATAGCCAAATACAACCCACTTAGGCTAAGCAATGCTCCACGCGCAGCCCCAGTGCTAGCAAACTCACAGGACCTGACACCCGTTTACGGTTTCACGCAGCCCACACTGCAGACGATCTAAAATCCCTTTTTCTCCCTCTTATTCAAGAACATTCATGCCATGTTCGAGCCACCCCCTTTTCCCTCCCCCCCACCTCTCCATCTTATCTCTTTGGCTTCCAGTGACACTGTCCATGAATTAATTCAAGTCCATTTTCTTTCCTGCAGGTGACTTCCTAAGTTAAGCTTTCAGTTGTGCCCTCTCTTGAATTTGGAAATGTTCTGTCCTCTATTTCTAACCGATCTGAAATTCTAGGATGCTCCACACAGGACGAGTCTTGATCTCTTTGTACCTGAGCTGCTCACTGAAGGAGCTGGGAACGGCCTCACTGAAGCATTTCTCACTGTGCCTTCTCTGCCCGTGTGCTTTCTACAGCAACTATTTAATTTGCAATTCTACAGCAAAATATACTTTTTTTTTGGTGGGGGGAGGGGCACTATGGAGAACAGGTTGAAAGAAATTGCAAGAAATTGGCTAAAAAAAAGACCTGGAAAACGAATGCATCATCTCATGGTGATGAGTTAGCTTGGCTGCGACTGATGCAATGAAATCCGGTATGGATTACTAAATACATTTCAAAAATTTCAAAAATAAACTGGAAGTGTTAATATTTCCTAACCAATAAAAATAGTCAAAAAAACGTAGGCATCTGTGAAACTCACTTATTTTTTAAATAAAGCTGATGGGGCCTGCCTAGGGGTTAAATCTCAGACTATCACTGCTGCGGCCTGAGTTCAATCCCCGGCCAGGGAGCAGCCCACATGGCACAGCAGACCTCTCCTGTCTCCCCGCTGCTCCCCTCAGCAGTGGATTTCAGTGGATCCACCTGTTCTATTCCCCACTCTGTCTCTGGTGAGTCCTGTTAACCCCTGCACCCCTGGCCTGTACCCCAGGTCTTCTAAGCAAAAATAAAGTCTTAAGAAAAAAATAAAGTTGGTAAACTTCTTTCCATGACTTAAAATACATTCTGGGATTGATGAATATTACTTTATATTCATAAATACCATGTTATGAGAATTGGAGTGCAAATTACTCATAAAACTTAATGAAATATCAATCTTAATTAGTGGGAACTTTCTCATTTAGATAAATTGGTATTTTATTATGCTTCTGACAGACACAACCAGGGGAGAGAGACTCAACAAAAAAGAAAATGTTTTGCTGCCTATTCTCATGTATTTTAAAGAGCACGTTATTTTTTAAAGATACATATTTGCATACAAGAGCTGGGGTACAGGTCAGAGGTGGGGGTGCAAGAGAACTCCCCAGAGACAGAGTGGGGAGCAGAACAGGCAGATCCACTGAAACCCACTGCCGAGGGGAGCAGCGGGGAGACAGGAGAGGTCTGCTGCGCCCTGTGGGTAGCTCCCTGGCCGGGCTCAAGCTCATGCTGCAGTGGCTGGTGATAGCTTGAGAGTGCTGAAAGTTTAACCCCTACCCCACCAGGGAGGCCCCTTAAAGAGTACTTCAGCAAAAGATAATTTTAAAATATTTTGGAAAAAAATATAGCGGTTAATGTTTAAAATTTGTTGTGCTATTTTTGGTGGAAATGAGGTCATTAGTTTGAACTTCAGTCTTCCCGATTCTCATGTATGAGGTTTTAGAACTAATTTTTTCAATAGTCTTGATTAAAAAAAAAAAAAAAAACAACTAAAAACATATGTAGGGGTCATTTTGGGGACACCTATGGTCTCTGTCTTGAACTTCAGGATGTCATTAGGCCCAAGCTGAGAACATAGATCTTTCTGGTATACTTTTGGATGAGAATTAAAGAGTTGGAGAAAACTGAATTTGGGTGGTTGCTCTCACAGCACTATAGATTATAATGAATATGACAGCAATTATTCCTTATATTTAAGGCTAAGGTCAATTCATTTAGCTTTATACTGCCTTGTCATTTTGTGTTCGTTGCATTATTTATCATTTTCTTATCTCCACTCTGATACTGCTTTCTCCTCAGGACAACACACTTTTAGAAAATGGTCTTGGAATATCCTTTAGTATACAGCACAGCGTTGAAAACAGGTAATAATAATAAAGAGTAGCTAACTGGGGCCTCCCTGGTGGCACAAGGGGTTAAGTCTCAGCACCAAGAAGCTATCGGCAGCCAGGGCAGCACGAGTTCCATCCCTGCCAGGGAGCTACCCACAGGGCGCAGCAGACCTCTCCTGTCTCCCTGCTGCTCCCCTCAGCAGATTTCAGTGGATCCACCTATCCTGCTCCCCGCTCTGTCTCTGGTGAATCCTCTCATCTACTTCATACCTCTGGCCTGCACCCCAGTTCTTGTATGCATAATCTTAAAAAAAGAATAGCTAAATGACTACACTGATGAATGGGGGTATAAGAGAAGGTTTACATGCCACTATCTAGGACTTTAGCTGGGATGTTTTTCCTTTTTCTTCCCTCTGGCAAATAGAGTAAATGTACTAACAACTTTCTTGCCAGGCTATTTGCTTTGGGTTATTCAGGGCCTACTCTTGTATGCTGTTCATGATGTTTAAGATTATTTAAAAACTAACAAAATAACATTATCTGTAATCAGTTATTTTCTAGGGTTCACTCTATAAAACAAACAGGTCTGTGATCCATGTTTTCAGGACTTGTTAATAAAAGCTTTCAGCAGTGAGTCAGTGTTGTGCTGTCTCATTCCAATGTCAGGAAGTAGGGTCAAAATTGGACTGATTAGATATGAATTTTATGTCCAGGAATAAGTGTGTTCACCCTTCTTATTCCTCGCCCTCCTACCACTTATCCTTTAACCAGACAGTTGTAACAGGCTACTAAAGGTGACCACACTAGACTAGGCTCCTGTCATCAAAGTGCACAGGACACTGCACCTCTTCTTAAGGAGTTTGCTATTGTTTAAGAAAAAAAAAGAGCATCGTAAATGGATGATACTTAGATCTGTTGATAATGCACTCTTTGTATTAAGGGTCCAGGGGAAAGAGCTTCCGTTTTGGAGATAGAAGAGCAATTATTAGTTTGCAGGATTGAGCAAATTTATATTAACTCTCTCCACTCCTGACTGATCAACTTTCAAGTATAAATGTAAGAATTAAATCACTTAATAAAAAAATCACTAGTTACACAGAAGATGGGCAACAATTGTAGCTTACTGAGCACACCTCACCTGACCCTCCAAGTCTAAGTGCAGGACTTGGGGACATGGAGAAAGGGCTGACTCGAAAGGAAGATACGGCTTTCCTTTGAAACACTGTATGTTCCAATCTTACCCACATTTAAGTCAAATCATGACTCTGAAGACATGTTCACGGGGGATCAAGATTTACGCTTGAGGACTGTCATGTAGTGACAATATTTACATGGAAAACAAAACTGTTTGTCCCAGAAGGTCAAATACACGATGATCTACCATCAGCATGAAACTGCGTGGCTGTTGAGCTCAAAGTAGTAGCAGAGGCCGCCCAAGTACAGAGACCCTGTGCCGAAACTATACTACATATGGCTGTGATCAGAGGTGCCACAGTGGATCTCATATGGACAGACCAATTTATAAGATCTCATCAGCAGTAACCACGGCAGTAAATATGAAATGGAAAACGCTATTTTCCCAAGTCCATCAACTATTGGCTTATAACTCAGTCTAATGTTTTGAATAAGAAAGTTTTCAGGATTAGCTACTGATTAAAAACTGGCATTTGAGAATATGCCTCCTAGCCATGAAATGTAAGGAGCGGTTGTCTGAGTTTTCTCAAGTAGCAAATACAGGTATTATTAATGCATTCTTACCAATTATAGTTTTGTAAAATTCCATTTTCTGAATATTAAGTTAAAGCTGAGATGTGTATTAAATCTAGAAGCAGGCCTGAGGCTCCATCTCTTAACTATCAAAACTCAACTTTGGCAATTTAATTCCAGTGACACCACATCATTCATCACAGGAAATACAATTACAACTATTGGTTTTCTAGGTTTTTTTAGTGCTTAATATTTCAATTTATTTCAGTTTTATAGTATTGAAGGTCTATAAACAAGATTTTTATGTCTGATTTTATGCTTGTATAAATTTTAAGTCACTTTAAAAATAATTCAATGCCAATCATCTTTAAGACTTTTTGTTTTCTGCAAGTGGACTGTGGATTACTGTTTTAGAAACATTGAAAAAAGTCAACAATAATCAATAGCTAAAAGAATGCAAATAGTTTCCCTTTCCTATAAAAATGAGGAACATGTTTTCAGCAAGAGGAAATTTTAAGGCTAACTACCTTACTTTATTTTAAAATCTCAGAAACAGCAAACAGCACTTACACCATCAGAACTCATTCAAAGTAGCTGTGGAGGAAGAGACAGAATTAAAAATCCTGGTTGAATCTGTAATGTAATTGAATCAGGAAACAAGGGATTAACTTCTTAGCATAAGAACCCCGTACTCTTAGAAGCTCTAAAGACTTGGCTTAATCAAATGTCACTTGCACAGAAGCAAGGATGATCTTGTTTTCCAGACGCCACCAACTTTCACCCAGAGAGGATCAAAGAAATGAAGCGTTAAAAGGAGAAGTTCTCCCTCATCTTTGTAATTCCAGAGCACCTTGGCTTCTACGAACACATTTCTTCTGGAGAGTATGGATTGTGGGAATTCAAACCCTGTCAAGAAGGCAGTATCTTTGCCTCAGGTATACGACACCTTAAATTTTTCTAAATCTAGCCAGGTCCGCCGCTGAAACTTACCTTAAAACCACCATCAAGTGATCAGGAGATATTGACAACAAATCAAAAACCATCTTTATACTGTACAAGGAAGACGATTGTTTTAAAATAATGTCTTTTATGGCACCCGGGGTTATAGAGATTAGTGAGTCATTGCCACAGCAGCTCTCATTTATAAAATGTTTCTATTTCGCCAACTAGAGGCAGCGTATTTTTATGTGTGAGATGAAAGTGATCAATGGAATATGAAAATTAGGGATTTCCCAAATAGGGCAAAAAATCCAAGTACATTTCTCAGGCTCTTAAATATAGGTAAGCTGTAAACTTGCATGATTAAGGCACCATTTTTGATGTAACTAAGTCCTAACTTGTCTAGTGAGAGACTTCAACAAATAAAGAGAAAATATTCTGCAGACATAGTTATTTTATTTATCAACAGGTCATTATTTGGTCATTTAAATTCCTCTTATATTTTATTGAATTTTAGAAGTTTTGAATAATGCTTTAACATTTTTTTATTTCCTGTCCTTTAAAGATGGCAAAATGTTTCATGCTATGAAACGAGGTCCTTAGCGAGGCACAGCTGTATTTTGTTGTGGAATCCTTCTTACTCCTGTAAATTCGACTATTTGATAGCTATGATGTCTACCTGTGCCAGGTGTATTTCTTTACTTTGTAGATATAAGAATATATAAGATTTCTGCTCTTGGGAATGTACATTCTAGGTGGGGAGACAGAAAATATAAACACATACATGATGAAAAGGCACAGGCCTGAGAGGTGGTAAAGGAAAACACAGTGGTTCTGAGGGCGGGGTGTGGCTGAGGCCTCCTTTAGAAGGATGGTCAGGAGATGTGTCACTAAACATGCAGCCATCTGGATGCACGATCTCACCAAGGCCAGGGCCCATTCTTGGCTTGGCAGAGAGCAGACCTGTGGCCT